CTCTCCTATTTAATACTTAATTTGGGATGAAATAGTACTCAAAAGAAAAAGTCTAACATGCAGAAAGAGATGAACACTTTGGAAACTATTCTAAATATCACAACATTGAATTTTTACCTTGAGTATATGTACACATGTAATAAAATCAAAGATCAGAATTGTTAATTTTTTAACTTATCCATGAAAGTTACTATAACACAGCTAATAAACTTGAGAAAGTATCAGACAAAACAGAAACATATATTAAAATAACTAACCATTTTCAATAACTATTTTTAAAAGCCTGTATTGTCCATTTCTTGCTCTGGCAAAGGTTTCTTTAACATCTCCACTAGCTAAAAAGGAAAAAAAAAAAACAGTAAATAAATGAAGAGGATTTATTGTATTTAAAAAACAAAAAAAATATATTCATTCATGTGTCTGAATATCTACACAATCACCCCCCATGTAACTTAATCAGCTGTTATATACTTAATGTTCACATGTACTTAATCATTTGTAGGTTTCACAGCTAATACAGCAGAGATGAATTCTCGTATACATCTGAAAGCAGTAACTTCAGGATGTTTGCAGGCCCAGGTATACGTCTTCAATTTATAAATTGCCCACTAGTCAGATACAAAATGGATGTAAAAGACAGACGCAAACAGCATGCAGGTAGAAATTAGCAGTATCTGGTTGCCACGTTGCTAATGTTTCACAAGAGCACTGACCCTGAACATCATGGGTAAAGCTCCCTCCCTTCTTTTACATCTATCCAGGCATTTTCAATCCCTGACCTGCTGCAATAGAATGGGTTTATAATTAATTTTGTACTTTAACCTCTCATTTCCTTCGTAGCACTTGTAATTTGTTCCTGGTTCCAATATGCTTTTTAAAATTACTTTTTATAATCAATTAATGTATCAATTACTGATTTGGCCCATCCCATATATTTGCTGCATCTTTGTACACTGGGCCATCTGCTTTACCCGGAGGTTGGCCATCTCCTTTAATTTAGGAAGGTTTTCACAATCTAAAATACAGGGGAAGAAAGAAAACCTCACCAACACAGACTTAAGAGGGAGTTTTTAAGAGGCACAGATGGCAGTAAGGTTCTCAGTCCCATAAAATTACTGCAATCCAGTCTGCAACACCGGAAAAGCACATTAATTGGATTCTTATTGATTCATCAGAACCAAGATGATTAAAATACTGGTGCTTAAGTAGTCTCAGTTACATTTCAGATAAACCTCAGAGATGGGACTTTACCTCCATTTCCAATGCTATTGTTTTTTATATTCCTGTCCACACCATTCCTATTAAATACTTCAAGAAAGCAGTTGAATATGTTACCGTAATTAAAAAGGTAAACCAATTTGCATCTGGACTACAAGGAAAAGATGGCAAACTAACTTTTACAGGCATACTGAAGAACTGTGTTTGAATCCTAAAAGGATTATCTTAGCCTCAATGTCTCTTTTGAACTTTGTTGAGGGTTAGTCAATTTAACTGTAGCATAGACAGGGAATTATACAGGATTTACTGCAGAGCTGTACAAGTTGCTTTCTGAATAATCCCACAGTACACAGCACAGTGCCAGCAACATAAAAGTCCACCATCAAACCAGGAAACAAACAAAGGGCTGATAGAGTTACCTGCTGAAGCAGGTGCATTGGCAGATTCTACTAGTTTAACCCATAATCACATATTCAAACAAATTCTTTGTTTTTTTCAAGGATATGCCCCACCCCACTATATTTTCAGGCTAACAAGGGGGTTTATTTCAGAATTTCTCTGGGCTACCATTAATTAGACAGTGGTCACTGGAAAAATAATGCCAACCCAATATGTAAATAAGCTACTGCTCATGCTTTTCCAGAAAACCTAGGCCCCTTTATAGTACTTCATAAAGAACGGAAAGTCTTCAAAAGTTTATAATTTCCAACATGCTACAGATATGTGACCTGCATGAAGTAATTTAGAAAATTTTGCCTAAAGAAAATATCTACAGCATTCCATGCAATGGAAACAAGTAATACCAAAATCATAAGATATTTGTTAACATGATAAGATGTCCAATCTTTCATTTTAGCTTCTGGTTAGGTATCCAATACATTTGAAGCACAAATCCTCCCATTATTTGTTCTACTCTGCTTATAGAAAATAGTGTTGCTAACTCTTGTGACCCCTGCCCCCCATGAGCAACACTAGTTTGGCAGGGCTGGGATGGGACTGGAGCCACAACCAGGACCAGCCTGAGGATGGCACAAAAAATGACACCTCTTCTGAATTTCAGCCCTGCAGAGGAGAGGAACCATGACTATCCCCATTCCGTGCCCTCCTGCAGTAAGCAGCCACTGAGGGCTTAAGCAGCATACCAGCAGAACGCTGCTCCCATTTTTCCTCAAAAGCCAGCACTATTTCACAGGAAGGGAGGGAGAAAAAGAAAGAGCCCAGCTGCTCTGAATGGGAATGAAACATGGGGAGGAAGGATACCTAGACACCTGTCTCCTACATCCCAGAAAGATATCCCATTGCAACTGTTCCAGTGAAGAACCCCTAGGAGCATCAGGCAATAGAAGTGAGGCAGGGGTATAAGAAAATTGGCAGAACTAATCTCATAATTGTAAAGTCTGACTCATGATGTTGGAACCTTCGGCAATATTGAGAAACAGAAAAGATGTTTGGAGGGTAGGATGGTCATTGAGAGTGACATGGATAAACTGGACAAGTGGTCCAAAAATAATCAAATGAAATTCAGTAAGGAAAAAGAAGTCGTCCAGCATTCAGGACAGAATGATCACATGCACAAAGACAGACTGGGGAATAACTGGCTAATCCAGTGGGGGCCAACCTTTTTGATTGGCCTTTTTGATAATTACAGGTCTAGGAAACATGACTTACAATAAAAGGTTAGAAGAACTGGAATTACTTAGTTTGGAAAAAAGACAAGGAGGATTTGATAACAGTCTCCAAGTAGCTGGAGGGTGGTTATAAAGAGGATTGTGATACAGTATTCCCTGTGGCTGCCAGGGACAGGACAAGAAGTAACGCTATTAAATTGCAACAACGGAAATTTAGTTTGGACATTAGGAAGAACTTCTCACTACAACGGTAGTTAAGAATTAAAAAAAAAAAAAAAAGGCCGACTAGGTTATGAAATCTCCATCCTTAAAGGTTTTAAAGAGCAGGTTAGGTAAGCTTCTCTGGAATGGTTTAGACTGGGATGATCCTGCCTTGGGGTTGGACTAGATGAGCTTTTGAAGTCCCCTTCCAGCCCTACTTCTTCTCTATAGGTATAAAAAGACACAGAATCATAGAAAGTTAGGGTTGGAAGGGACCTCAGGAGGTCATGTAGTCCAACCCCCTGCTCAAAGCAGGACCATCCCCAAGTAGATCATCCCAGCCAAAGCTTGTCTAGCTGGGTGTTGAAAACCTCCAAGGATGGAGCTTCCACCACCTTTCTGGATAACCTGCTCCAGTGTTTTACTCCCCTCCTAATGAGAAAGTTCTTCCTAATCTCTAACCTCAACTTCCCTTGTTGCAATTTGAGATTGTTGCTCCTTGTTCCATCATCTGCCACCACTGAGAACAGTCTAGCTCCATTCTCTTTTGAACCCCCATCAGGTAGTTGAAAGCTTATATTAAATTCCTTCTTAGTCTTCTCTTCTCTGAAATAAATAAACCCACTTCCCTCAACCTCTCCTCAGAAGTCACATGCCCCAGCCCCCTCACCATTTTCATTGCTGACATCTTCAAATGAAGCAGATTAGCTATCGCTGGAATGTATCCTGCCATGTCGCCTCTTGTTCTGTATTGGGCAGAAGCCCAATCCTATGGGACAATGGGCAATGTGGTCCCCGAAATGGCCCTTGAACTCTCCAGGGTGCATCTCTGCAAGTGGGGAAAGCCTAGGTTCCCCACTTATACAGGCATGTCCTGGAGACTGCCCAGGGCACATCTCTGCTAGCAGAAAACCTCAGCTTTTCCCTGGGGGTCTCTGTAAGGGGGAACCTAGGCAGGTACTCCTGGGGCTTAGAGAGGCCCAATCCTGCATGGGGATTCTGGGGGCATGGAGATCAGGCCCCTCGAGCACCTGCTTGGGATGGCTGGAGAGCATGGGCAGTTCTGGATGCCTGTACTCTCCTGCTATAAAGCTAACAGACGTCTGCCACAACAAAGCTGCAGAAACCATTATCACCTTTGTCATGCCCACAGATTTTGGGCTTTGCAGGGCAGCAAGGGGCTTGGCTGTCTGTTTGCTGGGCTGTTGTATAACCATGCTGGTTTTTTTATGGAGGCGTGTGTTTCCATACTACAGCTCTACGTTTGCTTTTTCACTTGCGCCTCACTGACCCCAAATCACGGGGCTGGGGAAGGACGATTTCTCCGTTACTCTGCTTCTTTCTCATCTCTTGCGACAGCAGATTTATGGGTTTCGGCACCAGGTTACCTCTCCCTCTAGGCCTGCTGTCTGAAACCCATCCCAGCTCCCTCCCTGCCATGTGACAGCCCTTGCCTCACTGCTCTGTCATACTGTTGTCCAGGATCAGCAGGGCAAAACTGACCCAGTTCTGGGCATCTTGCCCAGAGCCTGCCGAGCAGCTGCCGTGAAACTGAACACAGGTGAGCTGCACTCGCACAGCGACCCGCAGACAACCAGCAGAAGGTGTGTGTGTGTGAGAGAGTGTGTGTCTGTAAGTGTGAGAAAGAGAATGAGTATCCAGGAGATGCAGCGAGAGACAGATAGTGTCTGTGAGTGAGTGTGAGTGTGTGTGCCCAGCAGCAGCGAGTGAGGACGGGGAGCCGCCCCGCGCCGCTTACTGCTGGGGCGGCCCGAGCGTCGCGCGCCGCCGCCCTCGGCCGCCCCCG